CCCTTGAAGTTCCCATCAGGTTGAACTGCTGAACCCTTAACACTTTGCTTGCTCCACACAAAAAAATTAAATAAAATAAAAACACCTTTTCCCCAGGATGTTAAAATTGCAAAAGTTATAAAGTGTGTCCAGTAATATAGCAGACAACCAGCTTCTTCCCAAGGTGAGTGTGAAGCCTCATAAATTTACAGGTGAAATAAAAATGAAGCCCTTGCCTCTGGGCCTTTGGGTCACATTGAAACTAGTTTTAGTATTTGTCCTCCTCCGGGTTTCCAGGTTGGCTCTTTTTTTCCCCCCTCTCCGGCTGCAAAACTCACTCTTGAAATCCCCTGGAACGCTTCTCTGAAGTTTAAAAGTTTTGGATCCAGTTGCTCATTTTCCAAGGCAGGAATCCAATTCTTCGAAAATCATGCCTCCAGAAATGCACATATATTTATACTTTCTACTTTTATAATCATATTCTCTTTGAAATACTTCCATAATCCATAATATTTATATCTTTATAGATTTTGAATAACATTTTTAATTTCAAAACAAAAAAGAAACTCTGTACACTGATCATACTCTAATTTGCAATACTACATTTGTACTTTGTACAATGATAAAAGAAACAAATTTATAAAATGTGATAGAAAATGTACAATATAATGTATGTATTCCAGTACCACACAAAGCTGTGTCTAAGTGAGTCTTTGGAAGCCTGTTGCTATTGAAAGACTGTTTAAAGAGGAAGGAGTGATGACAGAAAAATAGACAATCACACTGTGTGCATCTTCCCTGATGTGTGCCATGATATTTTGTCCAATCTGATGTCTTCATGCTGAGGATGCCATTTAGAAAAAATAAAACACCGCACAGCAAGCTGCATGCACACACACACACAAAAAAATGACAGCACTGATCTCGGTATAATGACAGACACACAGGGTTTGCACAGGAAAGCACAATTTCCCATATGACATATGTGAATACATGCACACACACACATCCAACACACTCGTATAGGATGGAAAAATCAACCAAAATAGCCCGCTGTGCCTCGGGGATAGTACTGAAATATGTCACTGCTGTGACTGTGTACTGTACAGTTTTTGATAGATTATTTCAAAAGGCATTGAGATGATGATTTTAGATTGTTCGGTCCAAACTTTCATTGCCTCTGCAATCAGACTGTGGCTAATAAGATGGAAATTATAGTAATGGGAGCTCAGAGCTGAGAAACACAATATATTTGACAAAAAAGGAAAAAAAAGTTAATTTAGGAAGGCTGAATAACATGGTCTTTAGTGTGTATCACGCTGCAGCACTGTCTGCAACTTTCAGCACAGACACACTAAGGATACAACAGGGATTCTAGGATAAAAGAGCAATTTGTTTATGTCACTCTGGATAAGGCACTTCAAATTGCTCTGTACAATCTGGCGATATACATTTTGCCCGATAAAATTCTCACAGCACAAGCTGCTGCGTTTTCATTTCTGCATTGATGCACAAGATCTTTGAGATTATTCTCAGCAACGGCCCCAAGAGAGAAGCCAGAGAAACCTTAAATTTGAAGTTGTCTCTGATAAACGTTACATGTCATATGTACTCCGTAAAAGGAGTTTAGCCCTTTGACATAAGCCGTATGAAAAGGAGCCCAACTAGCTCTGACGGCACATGATGATCTGTTGAATACAATAGAGACAATGTTTATTCTAGTCATATTAGACAGATGAACATCAGAATATATGACTTGTACATAAGCATATGTGCATTAGAATGGACTTATGGACATATGAAGGTCATAATAATCACAAAGCAAGAAATGGTGGTTTCTGTTTGCACAACATGAGAATGAGATGCAATAAAAGCACAGGAGGGCTGGTAAACAGCGCCATATCACACTGTGTTTACACCAGGCGGCAAGTTTCATCTAGGACAGTCAAATTCCTGCAGCAAACCCTTGGCTGACCTGCCCAGAACGGCTGTGACTTCTCCAAACATGGTCCACATGCAGCGTGATCCTCTAGCTGTGGATTTTGTCACTGACAACCCCCCCCAGCCCCCACCATCCTCCCCACTTTCTCCCCTTCTCTCAACCCCCCTCCCAGTAACCATGACTACAAAAGCAAGCTTATCTGTTTCATATACACCTTAGGGGCTATCAGCCGCCTTTCTGCCTCACATGCATGACAGCCGTTCTCTTTCACTGTCACCCAACAACGCTTTCTTTCTCTATCACAAGCCCACGTTCTCTCACACCATCCACTTCCCCCATTTCACTTTCCAACACAAAAGACAACGCCTGATACAAGAACGTTGTTTTGTTCTTGTTTGCTCAACAACTTGGCAACAGGAGCGGGGGGGGAGTGAAAGGGTTTATGAGAACTTTGCTCCTGATGTTTAGAGTGTATGCCGTGGAGATAACCACAGTAAGCACTTTTAGATGCATCTCACCCCTTTTCCCGCTCCAGGAGGTGGTAAACTGCCATCACCTTCCATCAAACACCCAAGCAGCTGCTCAAACTGGGACGCCTGGACCTCCACTTGAGCTGTGAGCCACTTACTCTCCTGCTGGTATCACTCAAACGACAGCTTAGCAAAGATTAATCAGATATTCTGGAAGGCTCTTTACCCACCACTGAGATGTGTGACAGATGTCAGATAGACATGGCTCGACTTATCACTGTGACTATTGGTTGGATGTTGAACTTGGATGGATGCCTCAGTTGAAACTGCTTGGATAGATCGACACTGACCATCTATATGTGCAGCAGTGAGGGAAAGTACATTTACTGAAATACTATACTGTAGTAAAAATCTTAAGGGCCTTGGACATAAAAGTTTTTTTTTAATTTTCTGCTACTTTATACTTCTACACTGCACAGTTAAGAGGGGAATAATGTACTTTTTACTCACTCTGACAGCTGTAGTTACTACTTAGATAGTTCCTACTATTCCAAAGTATAATCAAATCAAGTTAACTGATCAAACGTCCACACAGATATAATTAAACATACCACCTGAGTTTTTGACTGTTAAACAGGTGTACAGTTTTCAGGGGGGTTTTCAGGTCAAGCTTTGTTGGACTTGACAAAGCTCATTCAGAATTACAGACCATGTGAATAGTTTATTTAAATAGTCAAATCAGTAGCCCTTTTTTAAAAAAAAGTTCAAATTTCTTGTAATAGAGTAATTTTAAATTGTGATAATGCAACTTTAATTTGAGTAGGGGAAAGATGCATCCAGAGCTTCTGGTATTTTAACATTTACCATTTTGCTGTAGGTTGCCAGAAAAGAAATATAAATGTCAGAAATAAATCTTTTAATTTAAAAAAAAAAATTTTTTTTAGAATTTTTGAATTAAGCTGTGACTACAACTACAAAATTTGAATGCAAGTGCAAGAATATTTATCCTGCACTGGCTCTGCACGTATAGCAGCTTAACAGTGTGATAACAGGAAGGGAGGCTTGAATGAGTGAAAGAGAAAGCGAAAAAGATAATTAACGATAGAGCAAGCTAATGAATGTACATTTGATATTTACATTACATTCAAGACCTCATATATGAGGTAGAGACTAAAACAGGATCAGGGCTGAGTGGAGCACTAAGTGGGGCATGGGCGCGTAGCATGCAAGCACAAGCTGAGCGTGTAATGGGCAATCTTTAATCTCAAATGTAGGTGTTCCACATCGTCCCATAATCTGATCAGCCTCATGGTGAGTTTTCGTTATAGGATCTGTCCCAGATCTTTCTTTAAGGAGACAGCCTTGAGGAGCTATTCGGTGCAGGCGTAATTCTGTGCAAAGCCCCCCTACCAGCCACTGTGGCAGCCTCCTGATGGCAAATTCTCATGCATATTCATCACTCCTACTGGTGAGCATACATTAATGTAACTGAGAATTGTCTAATAGGTTGGAAATGATGGATGACATGCATGAATACACAGAACATGTCTTACAGTAAATTGATATTTTCTCATTTCTTTTATAATTAAAATAAGCGCAACTATTTATTACTTTTAATTTAAGAATAGAACGATTACATAGAATTAATTAACTCGCTTGTTAATTTTCAAAATGAAAAAGGAGATGGGTTACAAAAAAATGTACAATAAAGACGTGGAAATAGCCCTTATTTAAATCACAAGGTCGCAACTTGTGATCAGAAACTCTTGGAGCAAACACACACCTCACACAAGAGCACCCACCACCACACACACACACGCACACACACACACATACACACACACACCCACCAACCCAGGCCTTCACAATCATCATCAGTACAATGTGGTACAGTACATGCTGTGACATTAATCCACTAATCAACAGGATTAAATGATGTCTCTCACTCATCCACACACAGCAAAAGAAACAAAAAACCCCACAACACATTGATTTCCCACAGACAGTAATAAGCACAGCTCTGAGCTCCACCTGATTCACTCACAGAGTAGGAAGGTTCCTACAGTAGCAGTGAACTTGACAGCGGACATAAAAATCTTAATAACCACAATAAAATATACATCGGACATCCTGTCAGCGGAGGTGTAAAAGCTGACATGATGCGATATAAACGGTGGGCAGATCAAAGACTGCGACTGAACAATCTCATGCCGCAATTTTTTCTTACTTAGTCATAACCTTTGTTGTCATTCTCTATAATTATACGTGGCAGATGGTATTCAGTGAGTTTACTTTTGTAAAAATTTGAATAGTGAAAACGACAAGTTGTGGTTTTACTGGGGTTATGTGAGGGACTATTTCTTGGCCAGATGCAGTGGCTTCCTCACACACGACAAGACTTCAGGAAACTCCCTGCAGAAAAAAAAATTGTCCTTCTCATAAACCTTGTGAAACCACAACTTGACATTTTTGCACTTTGGTTTTTGTATGCATGAAACAAATTAGATATATCAGCGGTGCTGATTCCTTTGGACAGAGCCAGACTAGCTTTTTGCTTTTTTTCCTCTGCCTGTTCATACTCTTTAATTTAATTGTATTATGGCTTCAGCTTTATATCTACAGACACGAGTGATCTCAATTTTCTCACGCTTATTTGTGTTTTAGTTACATATTTCCCAAAATGTCAAAATGTTCTTTTAAATCAAAGTCGGGGTTCTAGCAGGGTCACAGATTCATCTGATTGGTCCAAATTTGTAGTTGTCTCCATCTGTTAGATACTTATTTTTCTATTTAATGCTACAAGAGGGGTTAACATCCTGTAAAGACTTGGTTCATGGAAATTCTAAAAAATTATTTCATTGGAGAGTAGTTCTAATGAAAAACTCTTGTTAGTGACTGTGTAACCAGGAATATATGCTGCTGTTGAATTTTTTAAAAACGAAAATGTCATTTTCCAGTGCTATAAGCATATGCTAAGCTAACTCATTATTGTTGGGTGAAGGCCAAATTTATTTTAATACCTGGCCAAATAAAAGCAACCTAACCAGCTGCATCGTGAAACACCACCTGTAGAGGTAAGTAAGAATGTTTTTGTAATTAGGCTGAACTGACCCTTGAAGTTTGAAGTTATTTCCAGCCACCAGCTGGCAAGTTGACAAGTGCAGCGTTAATATATTTATCTATCTATTATGTATTAATGGCAACTCATTCCCACAGGGGCTCATTGGTAGATAGGATAGCTTCCAGCCCTGATGTGACCATGTTAGTGGCAATCTACACAAGCTGCCCCACTTTATTCTACATGTTGCTGGTTGGAAGTGCCATGATGAGGATCACAGACAGATAGAAAGAAGGCAGGCAGAGGGGCACGCATGGGTGTGCACACATACTCCGAGCCAGCACACACCCACGTGCACTCACATAAATATTGAGTATACACTGATATGTACAGTTATCTACAGGTATCTTCACTGAACTTCAAACTTCTGAGGTTTGTAAATTCAGTCAGCCCTATTTTCCCATTTTGAAGTTTTCTTGTGTTTTTGTACAGCACAGATCTTCCTCCGCTCTTTATCTTGTTTCATTTTTTATCAGCTCAGTGTCACTCCCAAGTGCTCCCTGCCTTACACACCCTTATTTTTTGAGCTTACATCTCTGAATAAAACTGAATTTTTCACAACCCTCCTCATCTATGCTGCTTCTGCACGACACAACTCAACGCAACTGGCATCAGTTGAATTTGTGTAAAGTGCTACAACCGGTTATTGAGAGAGAAATTTAACAAACAAATGATCAAATGAAATGAAGTAATTTCAAATGTACTCTTGCAGTCTTTATCATTCTCACTAATCTTTCATATACACACACACACACAAACACACACACACACATATACATGGATGGCACACACAGGCAACTAAAACTTCAGCTTTTTCTTCTAAGTGGCTCATATTTATCTGGCTGACCTACTATTTTTATACTGGCAGAGGAGAAGATGTTTGAATGTCTTTTTAAATGTGACATTGCACAGAGCGTAGCAGGCGGGGTTGATGGTGCTGTTGATGTAGCACAGCCAGTAGCCAATAGTCCACACTGTGTTGGGGATGCAGCTGGAGCAGAAGGTGTTAATAAGCACCATCACATTATAAGGAGTCCAGGTGGCTACAAAAGCTACCAGGATGGCCATTATTGTGCGGGTAACTTTTTTCTCACGTGATGGCGCCGCTTTCTTCTTCTTGTTGGGTGGTTGCTTTGTCATCTTCACAATCTTCCGTGCCACGTGATTCTGCCGCTCTGTGGCTGGGACGATCTCAACGGTGGCATTGGACGGTGTGTAGCAGTCACCCTTGGGTGATTTAGTCTTGATCTTGATGCAGGTTAGCTTGGAGCCTCCTGCCTTGGCTCGCTGACGAGGGAGTGGCTGGCTTGTCTCCGCGCTGGAGTTAATGGTAGAGGGTGCGGCCTCCTCGTCCTTCTGATTGGACGCAGCCACACTGCCGGATGTTGAATCATTGGAGCTCTCCTTCTCTTCTCCAGGAGTGCAGTTCTCCTTTGCAATGTCGTCACCTTCGGTTTCTCCCTCAACAGTGGTTGAAGAAGGTCCTTTGCCATTTTGCAGTTTTCCATCATGCTGGTTAGCTCCATCCTCAGCATTCTGGCTCTGGGAACGTCCTGTGTCTTCCCCTGGTACGTTGTTATTGTTGGGTTTTGGTGTGTTGTTCCTCGTCTGGGCAGGCGACAGGGGCTCTGGATTGGCTCCTGATGGTTTGCGGTTATCCTTCTTCACACGGCTCTTGCTCGCTCTGGAGATCTGCCAGTAGAGCTGAATCATGATGATGACAGGCAGGTAAAAGGCGGCGATGGCAGTGCCAAACGTGACTGCGGCATTAGAGAAGAACTGGATGTAGCATTCCTTCTCAGGCACTGTCCGCCCACCAACAATGAACTGCCAGAAGAGAATGGCTGGTGCCCAGAGGATGAAAGAGAGGACCCAGGCTGCGGCAATCATCATTCCTGCCATCTTGGTGGTCCTTTTGACAGGGTAGCTGAGGGGCTTGGTGACACAGAAATATCTGTCAAAGCTTATGATGAGAAGATTCATGACAGACGCATTGCTGACAACATAGTCCAAGGCTAACCACAGGTCACACACCACCGGCCCCAGGGGCCAGTACCCGATTACTATGTAGACTGTGTACAAGTTCATAGAACACAGTCCAATAATTAGGTCAGCACATGCAAGGCTGAATAAAAAATAGTTGTTGACAGTCTGCAAGTTCCGATTAACTTTGATGGAAAGCATGACCAGGATATTTCCAATAACTGTAACCAAACTGAGGGAACCGGCCACCAACACGATGAACACCACCTCCACAGTCTTGTAGGCGCTTTCGCTCTCTTCCACAGCTTCTGTGTCATTGCCTTCAGAGCCATTCCCGTTGGTGAAATTGAAAACATCCATGGCATTTGGTCTTTTGTTGCCACCTCCTACTTAGATGGAACCTACAAACGAGAACAAGAGAGAAGAGAAGGTTTGTAAAGAAGTGCAAAAGATGACTGTGTCAGCTTCAGCTTTTTAGTCATTTGAAGACTTTTGAATGGCGTATATAATAGGTTCATGGGCAGAGCACAGTTATATTATACACTTAAGTTTTACTCATACTTCACCTCTTTCTTAGCTCAGAAATAACTCTCAAACCGCCCCCTTCAACTGAGCATAGAAGTCAAGTATTAAGGCAAATACATTTAAAAATTGAACTAATCTAAAAACAACACAGGAGAAAAATAAATTACATAAATCAAAATACTAAATTACTGTGAAAAATTGGCAGCACTTTAACATTAAACATGCATTTATTTATTCATTTCAGTCACATTCAGTATAAATATATTCAATATGCTGCAAAAGATGCACTGCCATCTTTTAACGTGTAATGGACTGAGGGGAGAGTAATGATGATCCACAGTTAGATTATAAAATATAAATATACATGTCTCTATAATCTATCCCTATGAGTGACCTTTTCTATGTTACAGCTTTTAGCTTGTCTAAAAGCAATTCATCAAATAACAGTGACAGTTTTGGCTGTACACCAATTAAATTGGTAATTAGAAGCACAGATATCTGGCACAGATATTTTTCATAATCAGTCCGTAAATAACATCTCCCAATTAGACACCTGCTTCATTATTGAGAAAAGTGGGGGAAAAGGCACTAAAAGGCTGCACAATTTAATGCACATGAATGGCTAATGAAAAATGAGATGTGTGGAAATGAGGCAACAAGTCAAATAAGGGTATTACAGTGATGACAAGCCTGAGCATGGTGGCGCAAAGTTTAGTATCAAGCACAATTAATTTCAGTCTAACCAGTGGAAGAAAGAGGTTGTTTACTCACTGGACAACTGAGTTTAATAAATGTATAAAAGTGTTTCCACTACCTCTGAATTGAATCTGACAGTTATTTTCTCCATGTGGAAATCCTGATGATTGTTTTTTCAAACATCTATCAACTTCATATTTAGTTTTTGTTCTCAAAGCTGTTTTTTCTAGGCTTTTCTCTGCCTACCTACTTTGATGGATACATTTTTGACCACACAATTTTGATTATGAATTACTAATGGCTTGAATTAATGTTCATTTCTTCCCCAACCCCTATATTTGCAATACGTCAATATAATAGTTATTTAAACAATGTTAGCATGTACATCCTTAAAAAGGAGAGGGACATGTGTAATTATACACCACACACACAGTATATATTACCAAGAGTTCAATAAAAACTTTAAAAGGAATTATTGACCAAATTGGCACTGACATTTTATCTTCAAAGGTCCATTTTCAGCTTGCACTTAAAAATTCTCTTCATACAGCACTATAAAATTCTTTTGATCTGCAAGTGACCCACTAGTTCTCGCTTTTAACCTTAAACACTTGCCTGTGTTGTAGACCTCGCTTTGATTTATACACTGCTCAGTTCAGTGTTTCACAGGCCTTTGATATTAGGAGTAATGTGGTTTGTCTGCTCTGTGTCTAGAGCTGGGTCACAACACTTGGAGCTCTTTCGGGTGCTGCGGGTCAGATTTTATGGCACAATTGGTAGCTTATCACTTCTCAGTTTGACATAAATATCATCAGGCTGGAGAAGTACCAAGCTGCTTTTTTTTGTGTGGAAAAGAACTAATCAAACTTTATCCAGCCTGCGGTATTCAGCCTGTAAATCGAATACTTTTTGAAAGTACCAATGTGTTGTTACTTAAAAGAACGATCAATATGCTGTCCAATAAGTTTCTTGACATTAAAGTGGATACAAATCGAAGGCAATCTGACTAAAACCCACTACAAAAACCATATACATTTATCATTGTTCAGACAGCATCTGGAATCAATCATCTCTTTAATCACACAAGATAGAATCAAATATTCTCTTCAGTTCAGAGAGATTAATGCTAAATTTGAAGACACTGCAAATAAATCTTACTAATTTGCATGCAACCTGCACCTGTGAAGATATTTTTCTTTTCTTTTTTTAACTTAGATCTCTATCAACATGCTGTGTATAAACCATTCACTTGATTCGCACATAATGGTGACATTAGCTTTGTCATTGACCATGTGATGAAGTAAAACAATGTGAAACTGATCACCCTGTACCCAAAGTTAATGAAGTGCTATGGGTGACACACTACAGCAGCTGTCTTGTCCAAGATTTTGCCATTTCAGCTTAAGGTCTTTAACAGTTGAGCACAGTTGCTGAGTAACTAGTGAACATTCACTTATCTGTTGTGCCAGAAATCCCTAATCATTGCATTAGGCATGGAGCTAAGCTGGACTAATCCCCATAAAATGTTTAAGTCCACCGATTTATATTCAAAAACACCAACAATACAAATGGGACACACTTGTGGCTCGCTCGAGACAAGTGGATTAGAGAAATAAAGTGGATCAGTATAGATGGTCATAGCACAGTGGAGACAGTTAACTCCCCTAGCTGCTCTTTGTCCACCTCCAGCTGCCATAAGCCTCGTCCCACACCTGAAATCTCTGCCACAACACAGCAAAAGCTGTGTCCCAGCTAGAGTCAACTAAAGACGCACAAATCTGTTTCAGCTCCATGTTGACAGCCATGGTTTTCTGAAAAGGTCTCAGGGGAGCCTAGACTTTGTTTTAAAGCTTACGTCCACATACTGTGAGTCATGTTAGCATTAACCTATTGCGAAAAGACACTTCTGCTGCAAGGAAAGCCTGTGTTGTGCTTTATTTTACCCATCAGGCTGCTGTTTTACAGTTTTTTTTTCAAATTGCAATAAAGTTGTCTTGAAGAGAAGAAAGACATCTTTGCTTCAGTGTTGACTGGTAGAAATGCTGGCATCCCAGCCTGCTGAGCATGAGTGCAGTTGCCATCGCCTGGGGAGAGCAGCAGTGGCACTCTTAGCATAGCCATCAATCATAGAGCTTACCTGCAAGTCTCAGTACTACTGCAGTCAGCGCCAGTGCATCTGACGGAGTAATCAGGACATGACTGACACATCCATCATTATCCTAAGAGAGATGAATATTCAGATTTTCGTTCATCTCATCACACTTCTTAATGAATTATCACTCTTGCTATACTTGAAGTAAAATATAACAAAGGCTTGGCGTCATGGTTTCTCTTTGCCATGCTTATACTTCTGCTCTGAGTAAATGTGTGTCAATAGATTCCACAATCCTAAATTTTCCCTTTTTGTTTATGTATTAGAAAAAAAGTGAGACAAGTCAGTAACTGCCATGGGAGGACATGAATAAATGAGCTTGAGTATTGTTCTGTGTTCAGACTTAGGTATTCTGGAGCTGGCTCACTAGAGCTGAAAATTGCTTATGCCCTCTGGGAAGCAGAAAGGGCCAACCTCACCCGTTTTCCACAACTTCTGCCCTCACTGTCTTTTGTAGTGGACTCCAGGATGGTCAAATCATAACTGCGTAAATCCAAATAACTGTGATGACGTAAGAAAAAATCATTGCATTGACAATATCTGCTTTGCCTCATATTTGAAGCTAAATTACTTACGCAGATCACTGGTTTTGTCAGGAACAGACAACAGGTGTGGGATTTCTGTTGATGTAGCTTCAAGCATGAATATAAAAAACATTTTTTTCCAAATGTGGCAGCTGCGGAGCTGCTCTTGAACCGATGCATTCTGCTGCCTCCCTAGTGTCCAGATTCCCATTCCCCATCTCTGAGCACTGATCCAAGGTAAAGCCCAGGGCACTTGCCCCCTGCTTTCAATGATTACATGCATTTTCATTGCTGGCCCTCTCCATGGGAGCATACAGGGTTAGGCCTTCGTTTACTTGCTGTTTGCAGAGAAGCATGACTGGAATGCAAAAGCTATCACTGCTGCAGTACAGCTTCCCCACAGGGGGTGCAGATCCATTCAGCACTCCTCCCAATGGTATTACAGTTAATGGATATAAACAAGTTTTTAAAAAGAAAAAAAAAAAGACACTGCTTCACTTGCTCATCCAAAGCTCAAGGCTTACCTATTGTAGACAACAAAATATGCAGTCAGCTTTCTGGCAAATGTTAAGAGAGGTGTAATGTGAGGATGTGGAAGGTTTGAAATGGTTTATATCAATGACGTATGGTAAACACAAAGTGGAAGTCTTTCTTTTCACCAAGACAATCTCCTAAATCGTTTCGGACTCTACTGTTAGGTTAAGTTCCGGCTAAAGTAAATATTGGCTTGTTTTATACCAAGTGTGTGCAAACTACTCTGCAGTAGGGCTGTCATTCAGACAGGGAAATTGACAAAGCACTGAGATACACACAAATGCATACAAATATTTGAAGAAATGTTTAGCAGGAAATGAAAAAGGTCCTGATAACTATCAAACCAACACACTATCTCACTCTTCTGATGAAACATGGCTGCAAAACAATTTGAATCTTGAGCTGGTGAAGTATAATTACAAATCTGCATTAATTTCCTTGAGCTCTTTCCACTATCTCAGGCGTATCAAACTGTTTGGGATGGATCTTGACAGATGCCTGTAGAGATACAGATACAATATTTGTACAGAGAATGATCAAAACCATTTATCCATCCATTTTTAGCCATTTATTTAGATACTGGATCATGACGGCAGTGGGCTAAGCATAGTCCTCCCCCAGCCACAACCTTCAGCTCTACCTGGGTAATCTTGGGATGTCCCCTGCCGAGAAAAGTGATGCAATTCTGCCAGCAAATTCTGTGAAAGCATCCTTCTGGATCTCGACCTGTGAGGAGACCCAGGGGGATACCACCATAGGGAATACCCTGCCTGGAGCCAATCAGGTCAGAGCAACTGGCTCCTTTCTACCTAAGGAGCAGGGGTTCTACTTAAAGCTCCCTTTGGATATCTGAGCTTTACACCCTGTCCGTCTAGGTCCTTACAGGTGAGCCAAGACTCCCTCTGAATGAAGCCATTTTCGCTGTTTCTATCCACAACTTCATTCTTTTGGCCACTACC